GTCCATTGGAGAAGTTCGTTAATAGTACAAGCATTATACATGTGAGCAAGATGCTGCAGCCGGCTATGCACATAAAGCTCAACGATATACCTCCTCAAATGGCCTTTTATCGGCGAAGCACGAGTCCCAGACCTCGTTGACCACCTTGGTGGCGTGTACGTCGTCCCTGCACGTCGCGCGCGCCATGACGGATTGGATGGCGCGCATCCTCACGCAGTTCTGGAACTGCTGTGTCAGCGTCCAGTTACCTCTTGTGATGGACTCCCTCGTCCACCGGCATTCTCCGCTGAGCATCGATGCCCGGATCTGTCCACACCCAACCAACCGTCAGTCAGCACTCGGCTTCAAAAGAAAACAGCCCAACCGAACCACACAAGACCTTGCGTGTTTGCCGAAAAAAACCCACCTCGGTGCAAGCAGCATGCTTCAAGTCATGGCCCCCCATCCAATCCACCTTCCACCGCAGGTGGTCCCACGCATGCACCATCTCGTGCGCGAGCGTGTCCTCGAGGTGGCTCCGGCTGCGCATCTCGTTGGCGCATATGAGGATGCCGTGGTCCGGGCTGAACCCCCCGCCCTGCCGGACCACGCGCCCGTCCTCGGCCACGCGCGCCGGGCAGCGCCGGCACACGACGTTGGTCGCGTCGAGGTCGCCGTTGAGCGCCGACACTTTGTCCCGCAGGAAGCGGATCACGGGCGAGTACTGGAACAGGTAGTCGCGGTCGCGCTCGCACCGCGCGCAGTCGCGCGCCTCGTTGGCCTTGTACCGGTCCTCGCGGTAGTGCTCGACGCCCTCGGGAGTGACCTGCCCGGATAGGATCCGGAAGTAGTTCATCCACCACTTGAGCGAGGGGTCGTAGCCGGTGCGGGCCGGGTCGTTTTCGAGGAAGCGGGGGAGCGGGCGGGGGGTTGATTGTGACGGTGATTGTTGCTGTTGCTGTCGCTGTTGTTGTTGGGCGTTGAGTTGTTGGGCGGGAGAGGAGGATGGGAGTGGTGTTGAGGAGGGTGGTGGTGGTGGTGTTGACATAGTGGTTATGTTTGTCCCGGGGATCGGGATTTCGACGCTTCGACTGTGATGACGGTTCTGCTCATGAACGGAGTGTGGTGATATCAACCTTGGTTGCCTATCAGGAATTCGAGCAAATTTCCCAGGATAGGATAGTGTTATCAAGATGCCAACGGATCGTCAATTGTCGTTGGACTTGGCTTGTGAATGCCCACTTCAAAGTTTCGCGATCTGATCGGCAAGACGTCCCGGTCTCCACCGCCCAGCGCCGGGCGCCCCACATTTCTGCCGGGGCGGGCTTGTCAGGCGGTGAAGCCCAGCAAAAAGACCACGGAGTCGGGTAGGGGGAAAATGAGAATCGTGGACTACACGTCTGCGTTGCTCTGTACCTAGGTAGGTAATTTCCATTGCTGTCAATGATGCGTTGTCAACTAAGGCCATTGTTGCAAGGGCGGGCGACGATGCTCGGTGTACGCATAGTTACCGTATTGTACAATATACATGGAGAATTGGAGGAGAGGCTGGAAGCCGGAAGCGGCTAGCATTGATCCTGAGACAGGGTGGGTCATGTCGTACTGTAATAATATTTCCTCAAAAGGGCGCGGTCGATTGGTCGGACGTGGACCGTTTCAACTCTAAGTCACAACCTCGGATTTTTGGGTCACTCCCGATGTCGGCCAATCGCACCGCTTCACAAGCTGGGCCAAAGTCACAGCGGTCCCACTGTTGCCGGTGTTGAGCGCCCTGGAGCAACATCGGGTTGGAGAAAATTACAGCACCCCTGGAAGCTGCCCGAGGAGGAAAATAGGTACATAATGGAAACGAGTTGGAATCCGTGTAAGAGACAAATCCCGCAGAGCGAACTGAATGGCTTTTGTTGGACTGTTTGGTCTTCATAATTCCGTTGTTTATAACTGAGGTGACTGTTGTTGACTTCGTTACGATTCTACAGCCATGAGGGGGCCACGTCCGCTTGGCGTCGTGATCAAGCTTGGTGAGTAATCGACTCTTTGAGACGAGAGTTGGTATAATTGACGAGGCTATTTTTCAGGAACAAGCTCTATTGTCGACGAGAAGTCTCATGAGCCCCTCCTCTCTATCCTGACGTCCATAGTGGAAACGGCTGTGAAATTGAGGAAAAATGGGCACAAAGTCATCATCGTCTCGTCCGGTGCCATTGGCGTGGGCCTGCGGAGGATGGATGTTGAGAAGCGGCCAAAGCATCTGTCAAAGTTGCAGGTACGATTGGGTCTACTGAGGCACACTACGAGGACATAGCTGACGTTCACTACGTTAGGCGCTCGCAGCCATCGGCCAATGCCGGTTGATGAGTCTCTGGGACAGCCTGTTCACACATCTAAACCAGCCCATCGCTCAGATTCTTCTGACGAGGAACGATATCGCGGATGCAAGTGGACTAGGCAAATCTGAGTCTGTGCTCAGCTGCTGACATCTAGCTGCAGAGGTCACGCTATCTCAACGCCCAGAGGACTGTCAACGAGTTGCTCGACATGGGCGTCATTCCCATCGTCAACGAGAACGACACGCTGGCAGTGTCGGAGATCAAGTTTGGCGACAACGACACCCTCTCAGCCATTACCGCCGCCATGGTCCACGCCGACCTCCTCTTCCTCATGACCGACGTCGACTGTCTGTACGACAAGAACCCCCGAACCCATCCTGACGCCCACCCTATCGAGGTGGTCGAAGACATCGGGTCCTTGGTAGCAGACGGTAACCTCGCCCCCCGTTCCTTCTTCCCTTGCCAAGATGGATTTGTTTGCTGAACCTTCTTGACACAGTCTCGTCCGCCGGCTCCTCCCTCGGCACAGGCGGCATGTCGACCAAGATCGTCGCCGCCCGCCTTGCCACCTCGGCCGGCGTCACAACCGTCATCACGCGGTCCTCCATCCCAGGCAACATCGTCAAGATCGTCAAGCACATCCAGGCCAGCCGCTCGCCGCCCTCGCTCGCCACCAAAGCCAATCAGGGCCCCAACACACCAGAACAGCAACAACAACAACAACAGCAAACCGCCGAAGCCCTCCTCACCTCCTCAGCAGCCTCCGACTCGGGCCGCAACACAAGGACCTCCACCCCGACGTCAGCCCCCCGAATCCCCCTGCACACCCGCTTCCTCCCCTCCCCGCACCCGGTCCGCGACCGCTACTTCTGGATCCTGCACGGCCTGCGCCCGCACGGGACGCTCTACATCGACCAGGGCGCGTACAAGGCGCTCGTCGGCAAGGCCGGGCTGCTGCCCGTGGGCGTGGTTGACGCCGAGGGCGCCTTTGCGCAGCAAGAGGCCGTGCGGCTGTGCGTGGTCGACCGGAATATGAAGAAGACAGGAGCAGCTGGCGCGGTGGCGGGGGTTGGGGAGGAAAAGGATAAGGATAAGGAGGGCGGCGGAGAGAAGTTGTGGGAGGGCGAGGCGCGCGAGGTGGGCAGGGCGCTGATGAATTATTCGAGCAGTGAGGTTGCGAGGATCAAGGGGAGGCAGAGCGCCGAGGTGGAGGGCATTCTGGGCTATGCCGATAGCGAGTATGTTGCGCAGAGGGAGAGTATCAGTTTGTTTGCGCCCGTCAGGGAGAGTCGGCCGGCGACGCCCGTGCGGGAGGTGGTGGATGGGAGGGGGATTGGCGGGTATGAAGGGGAGGGGGCGGTGCTGTGAGGGAGATGGAGCCAGGATACCTTATGGTGGTCGGGAACGGTTAGGGTGGTGTCGGGTAAGATAAAATAGATCTCTTTTTGGTATCTCGTTTTGCTAAGTTCGACTGTAGCAACCCCCTGTTTCACATGCTAGATCTTGGGCCCTCTGAACGCCTGACGCCGGTCCATATGCTTCTGTCTATCCATGCCACCACCAAACCCCCCGATCAACCGGCAAAAAGAGTGTCCTCATCACGGAGGTACTCTCCACAGTCTGATTGCCGGAAGCATACAATGCCCGTGGGATCCAATCGCCGCGCCTCAGTCGTACTCCTCGCAGTCTAATGCATGTCAGCCACGTCCTCGAGGTTTCGGAAAAGCACCAGAAAAAGCCTACCACTCCAAATCCGAGCGGAATATCCGCCATGCTGTACACGACACAGCCTGAATGCTCCGGGCAGTCCTCGGACCACCTCCCCACGTGCGCTTTCACCACTGTTTGCCGGCAGTCAGCAATTGGCCCCTTCCACTCAACCACCCGCCCCCTAGCCTCTCCATGTGAGATACGCACCATTTGACCCATAGAGGAAAGGCTGCGCCCCGTTGTCCTTGACCCAGATCTTGTGCCGCGCGCCCGGCGCAATGATGGGCAGCGCCGTGATGTGCAGGCGGAACTTGCCCGTCTTGGTCATCTTCCCCAGGCAGGTGCCCAGACTGAGCAGGGCATCGCGGCTGATGCTCGTGGCGAGGTTGGCGAGCGAGAGCTTGACGTAGTAGACCTGTGTGGGGAGGAGAGAAGTGTAAGTGATGGATGGCTCGATTGGGAGGGAATTGTCGCTCGAGGGAGGGGGGGTTTGAGGCAGCGTACCCGGGAATGGTTCAGCCGGAATACGTAGCGGTCGCCGTCTTCGAGGGGTGCAATGAGGCTCTTCAGGTCGGACACATAGTTGGCTAGCTGGGGGTTGTCAGCTGGGTTATTCCATTGTTCGGAGGACATGACATGGGCAGTTTGTTCCACCGAGGGATAATCTTACCTTGTCCAACACTGTCTTCATCTCCTCGTCTGTTAATGGGCGCATTCTGGCGAGTTGGAGATGAGTTGAGTGGTGTGATGGTTTTGTTGGCCTGTCTCTTGACTCTGGCGCACTCCCAGTTCTTTGGTGATCAATGCTTATCGTGATTGAAGTCCAAAAAAAAGTTGCGGGCGGGCCTGCCGAGCGTTCCACTTTTACCCGTTTCGTTTTAAAATTGCCCCACATCAACCTCCTCTCCTGGCGCTTCGTTTGCTCGCATTGCCTCCGTATCCGTTGTATATAAGCATTGCGCCACGTCGCAATTATATGAAGGCCTCGTGGCCAAATGGTAAGGCGCCAGATTTCGGCTCTGGAGATTGCGCGTTCGAGCCGCGTCGAGGTCGACTTCATTCCTTTTGTTTGGACTTTGGAGCATAACGATATTGTTGTTTTTTTACTCGGTGCAGTCCATTAAAACTCGACAGCCTGCCAACTAATCCCCGGTCTTTACAACGGAACACTGCATGGCAACATTTGCAACACTCCCGTCTACACAACAATCAACGTCTCTGCATGAACGGCGATCCGGCTCGACTACTTGGCACTATGCAGCGAAGGCTGAGCGAAGCTGGGGAAGACGGGGTATGGAAACCCTACAAATAGCAAATACTGTGTGGTAATGTATGGACTTTGCATGCAGCTCTCGACGGCCGAAATGCAGGCCAGATCTCATGCGCGTCCTCGTGGCCGCACCTGACGGACAAGCGATGAAGCTGATTGGGAAAAGCGCAGACTGTCAGACCGAGTTTTCGGGTCGCGACGAGACCTTCCTATTTCAACCTTCTCAAATACCCGGTCCTGCGCCGAACTCCCGCCTCTCCAAACCATTCTGCTCGTCTCGACCAGGTTTGGCAATTGCGGCGCTGGTTTGTGGTTTTGCCCCAAGTCTGCAATGCAACGTCCGGACTGACGCCAAGATGCTCGCCATGACAAACGCCGACTTTCTCGTTGGCCAGGCGTCCAGGTCGGGGGATCCGGACGGCGAGGTGCCGTGACATTGGGATTTTCGGAGGCCATGTGCCGCAGAGGTCGTTTCCGGAATGGTCGTCGGCACGCCGGGAGCCCAAGCACCAGCAATTACCCGCAATGACGGGCCCAGTCGAACTCTTCTGGGCGCCTAACGGAACGGCCCTGCCATCAACGCCCCTGCAATCTACGGGAGCTTCCATCCGACGACATGCCGCAGTGGACACACGACGCAGGCTGTGCAGGCACATCACCGCGTCCTGCGCACATCCCAAGTCGCCCCTTGCTGCTCTCCTCCCCGCGAACCGGGTTGCAACCCCGCGGCTCGGTATTATGCCATGGCGCGCGTTTGGGAGAGATGCCGTGCCTATCTTGCTCACTCTGCTCTCGTTTGGGAACGGCCGAGAAACCGCCCTCCCGCAAGTGGCTATGGTAATGTGTAGTCAGCCTCCCTGGTGAGCCATCCTCGTGGCCTCCACACCGGACGGAGACATGGGAGCGGCCTGCCTGTTCTCCGGATGCATCCCTAGAGTTGCATCAGCCCGCGACGGCGGACAGGGTTGCCGCCACTTCCGCCTACTGGAGACTTCGGCCATGCCCTGTCCCTAACCTCATTTGCCTCTTCCGCCAGGCCTGGAATGGAAGGCTGCCGAAGCTGGCTTGGGTAGTATCTGGGGAAAGGGGCGAGCTATGGGGGGGTTAAAGAGGGAGAGCCGCCTCCTCGGCTGCGGCATGTCTCCCTCTGCTGCTCGTCTGCCGGTAGCGTCCAAGCGAACCGTGACCGTACGCCCAACATGAGGACCTCGTCTCGATTTATCGGCGCCCTTGCGGCGGCCGCGTCGTGTAAGTGGACAGCCAGCACAGCCAAACCATACATGTCTACGGTGACTGACGCCCGGCCTAGTCCTTCCGTCTGCCCTCGGCCAGAATAATGAGCCCATCACCTTCACCGATGCCGAGACCGGCATCGTCTTCAACTCGTGGACCGTCCCCGCCGAGTCGGGACAGACTCAGGGAGCCTTCACCTTTGGCATGGCTCTGCCCTCGAATGCCCTCACTACCGATGCCACCGAGTTTATTGGGTACTTGGTATGTTCAGCCAGCCTATCACATGACGGCCTGCGTCGACGGAACAGATGCTAACTGCGTCAAGAAATGTGCCTCGGCCGACAACAATGGCTGGTGCGGTCTCTCCCTGGCCGGCCCCATGACCAACTCGCTCCTCATCACGGCCTGGCCGAACGCCGACACCGTCTACACCAGCTTGCGTTTTGCAAGCGGCTACGTCATGCCGGATGTGTACACGGGGGACGCCGAGATCACCGAGATTCGGTCCAGCATCGACGCCGACGACTTCACCCTCATCTTCAGGTGCCGGAACTGCCTCCACTGGAACCATGACGGCAACGAGCGCGCCATCTCCACCACGGCCGGCTTCCTCGTCCTCGGCTGGGTCCAGGCGTTCCCGTCTCCCGGCAACCCGACCTGCCCTGCCCAGATCACCCTGGAGCAGCACGACAACGGCATGGGCATCTGGGGCGCCGTGCTCGACTCCAACGTCGCCAACCCGTCCTACTCGGCCTGGGCCGCTCAGGCCACCAAGACCGTGACGGGCTCCTGCGGCGGCCCGACCCAGACGGGTGTCGTCGGCCAACCCGTGCCGACGGGCGTCACCTTCGACTACATTGTCGTCGGCGGCGGCGCCGGCGGTATCCCCATCGCCGATAGGCTCAGCGAGGCCGGCAAGAAGGTGCTGCTCATTGAGAAGGGCCCTGCGTCGACCGCCGAGCACGGCGGCGATCTCGGCCCCGCCTGGCTGGACGGCCAGGACCTTACCCGCTTCGACGTCCCCGGCCTCTGCAACCAGATCTGGGTCGACTCCAACGGGATCGCCTGCGAAGACACAGACCAGATGGCTGGCTGCGTCCTCGGCGGCGGCACCGCCGTGAATGCCGGCCTCTGGTTCAAGCCCTACTCGCTCGACTGGGACTATCTGTTCCCCTCCGGCTGGAAGGCCAGAGACATCTCTTCCGCCATCAACAAGGTCTTCTCGCGCATCCCGGGCACCGACACCCCGTCGACCGACGGACAGCGCTACCTCCAGCAGGGCTACAACGTCCTTGCTGGCGGCCTGGGCGGGAGCGGCTGGAACAAGGTCACGGCCAACTCGGCCCCGGACCGCAAGAACCGCACCTACGCCAACGGCCCCTTCATGTTCTCGGGCGGCGAGCGCGGCGGGCCCATGGCAACCTACCTCACCAGTGCCAAGAAGCGCAGCAACTTCAACCTCTGGCTCAACACGAGCGTGCGCCGCGTCATTCGTGAAGGCGGCCATATCACGGGTGTCGAGGTCCAGCCGTTCCGCACCGGTGGCTACCAGGGCATCGTCAACGTTACCAATGTCTCCGGCCGCGTCATTCTGTCTGCGGGCACCTTCGGCTCCGCCAAGCTCCTGATGAGGAGCGGTATCGGGCCGGCCGATCAGCTCCAGGTTGTGCAGAACTCGGCGCTTGACGGGCCAACCATGATCAACAGCACGGCGTGGATCCCCCTGCCGGTTGGATACAACCTGGACGACCATCTCAACGTGGGTTATCAGGTCCTTGATGTTCATTTCCTGACAGTGCGCTGACATATAGCAGACTGACGTCGTCATCTCCCACCCCAATGTCGTCTTCTACGACTTCTATCAAGCCTGGAACAACCCGATCGAGGCCGACAAGAACAAGTATCTGAGTATGTGGCCCGTCTTCCCTTTTGCGAAGCTTCCAAGGCTAACACCGTGCAGGCCAGCGCAGCGGCATCCTCGCCCAGGCTGCCCCTAACATCGGGCCGTTGTACGTATCTCCGCAGCAGCAGACAACCCTCCACTCTCAACTAACATCATCAGGTTCTGGGAGGAGATCAGGGGCGCTGACGGCAGGGTCCGCCAGCTCCAATGGACCGCGCGTGTGGAAGGCTCGCTCGGCGCGCCCAACGGCAGTACGTGCTCCCCAACCCGCCCTCATTATTTCCCCCCTCTCCCCCTACCCCCTCGACGCAATGCGGACCCCAGCTGACCCCCCTCGCACAGAGACCATGACCATGTCGCAGTACCTGGGCCGCGGCGCCACCTCGCGTGGCCGCATGACCATCACGCCCTCGCTGACGACCGTCGTCTCGGACGTGCCCTACCTCAAGGACAACAACGACAAGGAGGCCGTCATCCAGGGCATCATCAACCTGCAAAACGCCCTCAAGAACGTCGCCGGCCTGACGTGGAACTTCCCCGCCCCAGGCACCTCGCCGCGCGACTACGTCAACAACGTAAGTCCCCACTCTTCCTTCCCCAACACACCCCCTCTCACCTCTCACCTCCCATACCAATCTTCTCCCCCCAAAACAGATGGTCGTCTCCCCCAGCAACCGGCGCGCCAACCATTGGATGGGCACGAACAAGATGGGCACCGACGACGGCCGCACCGGCGGCTCCGCCGTCGTCGACCTCAACACCAAGGTCTACGGCACCGACAACCTGTTCGTCGTCGACGCGTCCATCTTCCCGGGTGTACCCACCACCAACCCGTCGTCGTACGTCGTCACGGCCGCCGAGCACGCGTCGCAAAAGATCCTGTCGCTGGCCGCTCCCGGCCTCGTCGGCAAGTGGGGCCAGTGCGGCGGCAACACCTGGAACGGGAGCTTCCAGTGCGTCCCGGGCACCAAGTGCACCGTCAAGGACCAGTGGTACTCGCAGTGCCTTTGAGGGCAAGGGGAATAGAGCGCTGAAGGGGGTAGGAGAGAGGAGATGAGAGCGACCTTTTTAGGGGGGTGGGCTGCTTGATGATGCATATAGGCTTCATGTCCATATTTCTTGTTCGTATTGTACATAGCTTCAATGTTGCACAAAGTTTCACACTGTAAGGGATAGGTGGCTATTTCACTGTCATTTCTTGATTTGTTGCTACTCTACATTTCAGTCCAACATCTTTGCCATACAATTTGCCCCGTACATACATCCTTAAACATCAACAAGATGGCCAAAGAAAATACCGTAGGCAGAGAAGAAACAGAAGAATTACATACCCCATCAATCACCTGACTCAGCACCCACCAACCTAGTAGTCCTCCTTGATCTCGCGCGGATCAAAGCGGCAAGTGTGCTCAAAGACAACCTCATCCAGCCAGTGGACGCCGCCCTCGCGGCCCTTGGGAGAGCGGTGAGCCGCCTTGTATCGCGCGATCTCGGTGAAGTTGAGCTGGTCCTCGAGCATCTTCTTGACCCAGACCAAGTCCGTCTCGTGCGCCTTCTGCTCCACCTCCAGCTTCTTGTCGTCGGTCCGGTGCTGGTGCTTGACCATGTAGCTGATGTACAGGCGGTAATACTGCCGCTGGCGGGCGG